ATTATCTTCTACACCACACAAGTAATATACTAAAGAATTATTAACATTCTTACACCACACCCACAATGTTCCACCTAATTAATCATTAAACCTGTTCCTGCATTTATCTTGATTGACACATACCTTTATATTTATGTTTAAAGTCATCAATTCTATTACTATTTTTTATGGCCTCACTTAAATTATTCTATAGTTTTACCCCACTTATGGAAATACAAAATCTTTTTTTGGTTGTACGTATAGCATGAATTTTTAAATTTAACTGACCCCTTAAATTGTATCCCCCTTCCTTTAAATAGTTTTTGTATTCCAACAGGTAATAAATTGTTCCTGGCTTTATACATAAACACTGCAGTCTTGTATCCCACTAAATCAAAAAGTTTTAACAATTTAGACTGTATGAAAGCTACATTGGTGTGATCCCTATACCCCATCTTATGCACAATTCTTATCGCTCTTTTTTGTAATATGTACAAGGGGTGACTTAATGGGTTAAGTTAAGTAAAAACATTCAGGGAAGTACATATATTACAAATTTTGATAGCTTTTTTATTTTCGCTCTTCAGGATGGAAGAGAAATAATTTTTAATTTCGCATAACAGGGCAGGGAAGAAGGGTTTAGATTTAGAGAATTTGCACTTGTGAATATAAAATTTTGCCATGAGTAGAATAAAGTTAATTAAATGTAGTTTGTTACTTTCCTTTCTATTATTGTTCCATCCATCCATCCATCCATTTTCTTCCGCTTATCCGGGGCCGGGTCGCGGGGGCAGCAGTCTAAGCAAAGATGCCCAGACCTCCCTCTCTCCAGACACTTCCTCCAGCTCCTCCGGGGGAATGCCAAGTTTCCCGACTCTGTAAACCCGTTCCATCTCTATTTCTTGATGAATTTGCAGTTTGTCCATTAAAATCTCCTTCACTTTACATTCCGCTTCTGTCCAGCTTTCTCCAGCTGCCTCCTTAATTCCCTCGAAGATCAGGTTTTTTGCTTGGACTGTGCTTTCAATTGCTCCATTTTATACGTTATAGTTATTAGACTCTCACAAGTTTTGTAGATGTCTTGCCTCGTGTCTTTGGCTTGTATTTCCTGCTCCCCCACGGCTGCTTTAATTACATCCACATCTCGCTGGGTAAACTGCAAACTCGTTTTTAGCTCCTGTATTTCTTTGGTCATGTCATCGAGTCTCTTGTTGTTCGTCTCCTTAATTAGTTTCACAAAGCCTTGGAAGCTTTCTTGCTGTTGGCACATTAGTGCGGTGTAAATCAGCTTCTGCTGATTCAACATATCAGCTACTTGCGCCGCTGAAATATAATCCTCTTCCGCCTCAACCTCCTCGATCGCTTCTGATTTATTAGCTCTTTTCCCTCTTGGAGGCATTTTAATAGTTGTAGAATTTGTTGTAGAATTTTTTCGAAGACTTGAAAATGTAGAAGATATGAAAAATTGTAGAACAGCCAAGAGGAGCAGTAAAGATGTCTGCTCTTGCTTACAACCCGGAAGCTTCTTGTCATTAAAATGACTAAATGTTATCACGTTGTTGTCGGGACTACAGATGTGGATTAGTAGGGTCCTACACCTCCTAGCGGGCTTATTAGCCTTTATCATCATGCTTATGGTAGCACTAATAAACATGGAGCACATCAGGTTTAGGTACAAAAAACATGTTCAGGTTTGGGCATAAAGTGTCATTGGGTTAAAACAATGACTTACTAATGTAACAATAGTGAAACTGAAGTTGTCTTCCATTTCAAAATCCTATGTCTTGTTGACCACCCATCCACCCCAACCTCCTCCCTAAAGGTCACTCAGTTATACCACGAATTGATGATATGCACCTTTCAGCCTACTGGTAGGTGCAGTTTGCCCCTAGTGAAGCATAATTAGGGGCATGATGATGGACAGACATTTAATGAGGTGATAAAGTCTGAATTGCCTGTGTTTATTGCCTGTTACAGAGCTGGTAGGCCAAACAATACACAGCTGTACATGGACTGATAAGTAGAGATACATTCATGGGAACAATTAGACTTCTGATATAGATAATGTCAAGGTGCGTCACACCGTGTTGAACATTGAGACAGGGGTGTCATTTTGGGTGGTATGTGATATATTTACTTATATTCTTGTTTGTTTTGCCTAAAAAGTTGCTTAAATCGTTTAGATCTCACTTTACTGACTGTGGTAATTCAGAATGGACAACCTTAGCTGACTGTAGCTAACTCGTAGTGGACCTAGAGATCCCGTTGACAAGAGCGACAGACTGAAAAATGACTCTGAACCCTGATCTCAGCTCTTGATTTGGGAGCTAAAGCTAGACAGCAGCTGTTGGCAGATGACACAAATACTGCAGAGGACTCTGTCCTGTCTGTGCTCAAACTGAACAGTAGTGGACGTGTGGACGTGGCTGAAACATCCACTACTGTATGTAGCTGTGTGGGATTTATTATTCTTTTCATTATTACTGTATTTATTTTTAACTAACTTATATATGTAGCATAATCCCCCAAATGGTGCATTTACTGAAAATTCAACATGGTGTGATGACAACTTCACATTCTCTAGTGAATCTTAATAAAAGGAGTGGCAGGTTTGATCATGGGCAGTACGGTGGTGCAGTGGTTAGCACCGTTGCCTCACAGCGAGAAGGTTCCGGGTTTGGGGACCTTTCTGTGTGGAGTTTGCATGTTCTCCCCGTGCTTGCGTGGGTTCTCTCCGGGTACTCCGGCTTCCTCCCACAGTCCAAAGACATGCAGCTTAGGTTGATTGGTGTCT